AGGATGCACAGCTGCCAAGGGTCGAGGTCACCAGTCCAGGACCCAAGTCACTGTCGCCATACGGAGAGTCGAATGGCGAGACGAATGGCGGCGGCGGCGACGACGCCATGGACCAGTCGGCCGACTTCTTCGATCCCCAAAACCAGCGCGCAGCACAACTGCGAGAGCAATGTGCCATGGAAACCCTCGACGACCTCCTCGACTACATTCTCAATGGCAACGGCTCCGTGGGCATCTTCGACGCCACCAACAGCACCCTCGCCCGCCGCAAGCAAATCATGATGAAGATTCGCCAACGCGCCGGCCCCGAACTCAACGTGCTCTTTGTCGAGTCCGTCTGCCGCGACCAGTCCCTGCTAGAGTCCAACATGCGTCTCAAGCTCTCTGGTCCCGACTACCAAGACAAGGACCCCGTCGCCGCCCTTGCCGACTTCAAGAAGCGCGTGGCCATTTACGAGAAGAATTACGTGCCGATTGGCGACTACGAAGAGGAGAACAACATGCCATATGTGAAAATGGTCGACGTGGGCCGCAAGATGATCTCCCACCAGATCAAAGGCTTCTTGGCGGGCCAGGCTGTCTACTACCTCCTCAACTTCAACCTCGCCCCGCGCATGATTTGGATAACGCGACACGGCGAGTCCACCGACAACGTCGCGGGCAAGATAGGCGGCGACTCTGAACTGAGCGAAAACGGGCAGAGGTACGCTCGCGCCATGACGCGCTTCATCTCTACCCAACGCAAAGAATGGGCCGTCCGTCAAGCGGACAAGATGGCCAATACCCATTTCCCCCCAGCGCCCGGGGACCATACGCCGCCGAATCCGCACTACAGCCATGAAATCGACGAGGCGCACAATTTCTGCGTGTGGACTAGTATGCTGAAGCGCAGTGTGCAGTCGGCACAATACTTTTGTGACGAGGACTTTGAAGTCAAGCAAATGCGCATGCTCGACGAGCTCAACGCGGGCATCATGGAGGGCCTGACGTACGACGAGATCCGGTCCAAGTACTCTGACGAATACCTCCGCCGGCGCCAGGACAAGCTCGCGTACCGCTACCCCGGCCCCGGCGGCGAAGGCTACCTCGACGTCATCAACCGGATCCGACCGGTGATTGTCGAGCTCGAGCGCATGACGGACCACTGTCTGCTGATTACGCATCGCAGTGTCGCCCGCGTCCTGCTCGCCTACTTTCAGGGCCTCAAGCGCGAGGACGTTGCCGATCTCGAGGCCCCGCTCGGCATGCTGTATCAGCTTGAGCCGAAGCCGTATGGGGTCGAGTTCAAGGCGTGGAGGTATAATAGTGCGACGGATGATTTTGACCTTTTGCCGGATTATAAGCTTAGGCGGGCGGCGTCGGGTATGGCGAATTGAGAGTGGGATTGTGAGGGGTTGGGGATGGTGTTGCTGGGCGGGGAATGTGGAGGGGGAGTGGCGTCGGGTTTCTTCTTCTTCTTCTTCTTCTTTTTTTTTCTTTTCTTGATGTGAGTGAGTACAGGCTGTGAGGAATGGTCGTGTGTATTATTAGGTTTGGTTTGGTGTGCTGCTACGGCTTGGATTGGATTGATTGGATTGGATTTCAAGGGGGGCAGGTATACATTATTTCATCTTGATTTTTCATCTTTTCTCTCTTTCTTCTCTTCTTTCTTCTTGTTTGCGGGGTTTTGTTGTAAATCTGGGGTAGGACTGATACTGAGAGGTGTATGCATGTATAGAGATGATGGGATGATGGGAGATGATGTGTAGATTGTCGGTACGAGGATGAGAGGGTTTGTTTAGTAGGCTATGGGCGTATTTCACAAGTCTCCATGGCTATGGGCAGGTAGGGTAGCAAACATGCAACTCCACTCATACTCATTCGGTGAGATGGGTAAGTGCTGGTGCTGTGAGTTGGCGTGGCTGCTTTTGGTTGATGCTGCGGTAGTGGACGGCACCTGACAATCGCAAACAATCTTGGAAGCACACACAACAAACAAACTTGGAATCGCATAGCAAACAACCTTGACCAAGTACAACCTCTCGACCGTATCTCCCCATGTAGCAGCGCAGTCTCATCAGTACACTACGTCTCATCTAGCCTCAATCACCCAGTACCACTGTAAACACCCACGTCAAGCAGTCTGACAGAGAGATGGACAACAATTCACCCCTGTGTCCCGACTGGGTCTTTCTCAACAACGCCAACGTACAGTAAGTCTGATACAGCCAACTCGACAGCATCAACCATTAACACTGCGTTATCAGCGTCGCAAAGGACCGCGGCTGGTTCAAAACCTACACGCCCTTCACATCCAAAGTGGATGGCTCACCCTTCTTCAGCCCGCCCCATCACCTTGCCGTGCTAGGAATAGGCACCGTCGAGATCCCTACAAAGCGCTCACCCAACACTTCTGGTGTCGCTTCGCACTCATCTCTCCTTCTCCACAACGTCTTGCACGTCCCGGACTGTCTTTGCAACTTCATCGGCCAACCAATCATGTCTGATGGATACAATTTCACACTTCGCTCCGGCGCCAAATCCCAAGGCACAATCAAAGACAGCAAGGGCAAAAACGTCGCCTACTTTGACCCCAAACGCCCGCTTTGCACCATCAAAATCCGCTCTCCACCAAACGGGCCACCGCTCGGTCCGTACGTGCTCAAAGAGGACGAGCTGTACATGCTCGGCTGTCGATGGGAAGATGCCGAGAGGCGCAAGTGGCAACTCTTCCAAGCCAACAATGGACTATCCACCTCTGGGCAAAATCCCGCCTCCTACACCGCCGAGGAAACCGCCTTTCTCAAGAAAAACTACGGCTCCGAGTTCCACTTCTTAACCCAGCACGGTCTCAACATCCACATCCAGCAAGACCGCGACGAAGGCCGCGCTATTCTTCGTGCCGTCATGCGTGACGCCGAACTGTCTGACGAGGAAGAAGAAGAGTCAGATGACGAATCAGCCTGGCAAGGCCATCAAGCAGACTAGAACTTCACCCACCCCCAACTCGCTTGGATCGAAGCGCACTATGCCAATTCAGAGCAGTTCATGTTGTCATATGGACTCCAATTCTACAAGGACGAGGATGTGGACGAGGCCAAGATTGAGTGTGTGTTGGGTTATGTTGGGATTGGTTTATTGGGAGTAGGACGTCTTGTGGTTGTTTTGTAGGATTCTGGGGGGAAGGTGAGAGATGGCGTTGAAGTATGTTTGTTGGTATGATTAAATTGTAGATTTGGTAGGAGGGCTGGTGATGTACATCTACCAGCTGATATATACGCCTAGGCCTTTTATAACTCGCGGTTTCAAAACTCAATACACATATGCACCCAAAACTTCCATCTTTTCCCACCTCTACACTGATTTCCGAGAGTAACAAACAAGTCTCATGAGGTAGCTTGCATTCTCAAAAGAATTTCAGTTCTGATACATGCACACAATCTACGCGAATATTTGCAATATATATACAATTTTACTTACCAGATCATGTGACACACCAGTAGTCGCCGCTATCCACTATTAAACAGGTCAGATACCTCCATCCTCACACCACCGAAACCCCATTACACAATTGAATTCAAAACGCAGTTCCAAACTTCAATATGTCCTGTTATTGGACTCCCCGCGCTAATCATGCTTCGGCAATATACCCAGCTGGAGAGCTATGAGATGGGCGTGTGACGAAACTGCGCTGGATCATTTTTATGATTTGGAGAGAGATGACTTGTGCGTACATATACACTGAATATGAGTGGGGGGACTGTGGGTCTGGTGGGTGTATTTGCTAAATACGTACAGCTTCTGAAAAGCTGAGTGAGTCTTCTGATGAGTTTTTTCTGGATCTGGGTTTGGGCATTTGGCGCAGTGCCAAAATGACGAGTCTGTCCTTGAAATGAAATGCTACTTTACTGGAAAATCAAGACCTTTCCATCCATATGATCGAGACTGCGTCGTCTCCAACTCGCACACAAGCACATGCAAACAAAATCTGCATAGCTGATGCGCAGGCCGGCGTTGGCCTTAGTGTAGCGCGTATATATACGCCGCTCCGCTCTGTCCCCATATTTCAAGCTCTAGTTAAAGCAGGCGGTGAGCCGTGGAGCTGCCAAATATCCTCTCACTGACTAGCCAGTGTCTTCTCTGCTCCTGTGGAAAATCTCTATCAACTCCGGGATGTGGGTTGGGCCAATGTGGTTTGTAATTGCATATGAATGAGGTGTTGGTGGATATTGTATGCCTGGAAATCTCGAGAAATCTCATCAATAATGTTGTTGCTTTTCTGAAACATATAACCAGGTCGATCAATGAGTTTTATGGGGTTTTCTCTCCCATGTGATGGACTCGAGGTATACGCTTTCTTGAGCCGATTTTGTACTGTTGGTTATAATTACCACTCATTGATGATGGTTCACTTGCGAGCGCATGGTATCCAAACAGGAATCTGAAACCGGGACTGAGACTTGTTGATGTCTTTTCTGCGCCTCTTGGTCTGCGCAAGAAAAGACATGGTTGATTTCAATGTCTCATTCCGCGTTAGTATTCTCTCGCATTATAGTTCACAACACTCCATAACCACACGGCGGGTTGTGTCTGGTTCATGTGACCCGTGAAACCCTTCATACTTGTTCAATTCTTCATTTTCTCGATATTCTGGGAGCAGACAATGTCATTGGAATTGTCTCACAACTGCGCCCAAAGAAAGCGACTCAAAGTAACTTGGGGCATACAGAACAGCCTCTTGTGTTGCAAAAATCGTGCCTGATCTGGTGCAGTGTTTACTGGCCTGTATACAGAAAGGTTCAAGAGCAGGGTCCACACCTACATGCATTAATGCCCAGCATCAAGAGCTGTGTGCTCATCCATTCAACATCGAAAATCTATGATAAATACTCCAATCCAGTCCCTCACGCCGATGCACCAAGTATCCACAACACTGCTACTACATCGCAGCTTCGCCCTCACCGCCCTCCCGCCTCACCACAACACCACACCGCAGCGCAACCAAAGTCTTCAACCTACTCAGCCAAACACTCTCTGCTCCACACATATCCACCGACATACTCCGAAGCTGCGTCCCAATCGCGCACTCGAACAAAGAATCACCAGCGTCAAAGACTTCAGGCATGAAGCCCCTGCATTCGGCATCTACCCCCTCACAGCCATAGTATCCGCGCATAACAATGTCAAGATTTACGTGCTTCTCAGACGCTGGAAGGGCTTGTAAGATGGTGAAGACAGTTGTGTAGGCGTGAACACGACTTGCGATCGGAAAGGCGGGAAGGTCTACACTAGATGGAGTATCAAGAGCAGCATAGGGTCCATTCCAGCGCAGATCGATGCCAGTGAGATGCTTGATCTCATAGTAAGCTAGATTGCGAAGCGGCTCGTTCTTGCAGGATCCCAGGCTGTGGTGCGCAGGGCGATCTTCAATGGAGATTGACTTTAGGCTGGATAGGCGTGCGGTGGTTATGTTGTGCAAGGTCGTTGCGAGATTGGCATTGGATGCTGCTTCTTCTGCAATCAGGGCGCTGTAAGCTTCGCGCTGCTGCTCTGTGATCTTCTCGTCGGTAATGAGATGGTGGAACTGGTCCAAGGTTTCTGTGCCGATGGTGAGGTGTTGAATTGCGGACGCGATGGTGGTGTTTCTAGTGAGCTTGTCGAATGTGTCTATGCTGAGCTTGAACAAGGAGATCTTGACCGTCTTGAAGCGATCCATGGATTTTGGGTTTGGTGTCGGCTTCCCTATAGGAAAATAGTGAGCCTCTTCCAGGCTCCGGCGGTCCGCTTCGTTAAGGTGACTTGCAATTTTGTTGATGATGTCGCTGGATAAAATGCTAAGATAGGACATGATGCTACTTCCTCCTATTTTCAAATAAGAATCGTACTTTATGTGGTTATGAGCGTGATGAATGTGGTTGTATTGTTACAAAAAACAAGAACACACCCAAAGCCGTTTCTACGTTGATGAACAATAGACCCTTTCGAGACAACTCCATAATAGGAAAAGACTTTCTTAGTCTGCGTCAAAAGGTCGTCTTGACAGCTGAGACAAGCTCCTTGACTTTCACAATGGATAGAGTATCTCAGTTCGTTCTGTACTTGGGCCAAGATGCAGCAGTCCAACCGAGCGCAGTTAAGGGAGGACTGAATCCTCAAAGTTCTTGTATTCGTCACATTCGTCTATACAAAGCGTTATCACACCGCTTCTTTCCTCCTAGCGATGATTGTGCATGGCTCACTCGAATGCCAACTCCGCAACTTCGGCTTGCCCAAAATTTCGGCTTGTAACAACATCTGCGTATCGCTTCTCGCTCTCATCCCATCCTCTTTGTTTTCATCAATTATCAATTCCACTTCATCCACCGTAGCAGCAATCTCATAGGTTCCACTGCAAAGCGCAACGATGCCCAAATCGGATTCGATTGTTTGGCTGGGTGGTATTACTGGAAGCTTGCGCTGTAGTACACCTGTCCACGAGAACCGCTTGTCTAGATCCAGAGCGATATTGTGTGGTAAGTTTGCTACATGCGGTTGAAGCCGGAGTATTGGCGAGATGGGGTGAGGGCTGCGATTGCGAATTTTTGTCCGCACAGTTAGAAACTCGTCAACAAAAACTTGAAACTTGGCGCGACCGAGCTGACGAACTGCTTCGCCAGCTTCCATGACAGGATAATCAGACGAGACACTCGTCTCAATGGCAAGATCCTCCAGCTTGATTGCTTCGACCATTCGCGGGGAGAGTCGTATACCACGAAGCTCCAGTTCGCCGTGCCGGCCATTGCCTTCTTCGCGCCAAAATCCGCGTACGCACGCCAAGAGTGCATGACGGTACCAAAAGGCCTCTCGACTTGCTCGCTCAGTCTCGGGTGAAATTTTGCTGGTACTTACGACAAATTGTCGCTGGTTCGCAGGATTTAGAGATGGTATTGCAGCGTGTGGTGCCTTCAAGTGTATCTTTGGTAGCACTACGGCTACTCTGTTGACGTGACCTGGTTGAATAATCTCATTTACAGCATTCGCTTTATCCCATACTTCTTCCTGGCCATCAGTAGCGGGAGATGGACGTAGTACTTGTAGTGATATAGACAATGGGTTAGGCCACGAGTTTCGAAGGTCCAGCAAAAGCATGCAACGCTCATCGTCAAGCTCCTCAAACTGCATGTCCTGAGGACCCGTAGAAAGAGCGTTACCAGCTACCTCCAACGAGCCATCGGGTGGGTCCTGTAGAGTATCCACATTCGAAGATCCGGAACGACGCCACCAGGCAAAGTCGTTCGACAGCGCAACAATGTCAGGACGCTGTAATTGAACACTGGCATTGACAGTGATGCTTATTGGCACAACGACCTGCCGCGTGAAGAATCGTTCTTGTACCTCTGATCTTCTTTTACCTAGGTTCGCATAGTCAATGTGGATAGTTGCATCGGTCAACCGTGTTCGTCCTACTACTTCAATAGTAAAAGTCTTCTCCATCCCTGGCTGTATGTTTGGGAAGTCGTCGTCCTGAAGCTTGCACCAAATCAAAGAAGGATAGTGTGCTAGCTGGTGCTCGAGTTCGTGCAGCTCAGCAGGAGGCAAATCTTTGTTGTTTGAAGCTGCCTCAATCGCTGTCGTCGCTGTATCGATGAAAGAAATATGAACGAAGTCCACCACTGTAGTGCGGGATATGTTCTTAACCGTAATCTTGAACCTTTTTCGCTCTCCTTCAAGGATCATGACTGCTGACTGCGGTAGAGACACGCTAGTGACTTCGATAACGGGTTGATCTGGAATGACTGTGAATGTCAACGTTTCTGGTTTTGGTTGTGAAACAATCCCTGGTTCCATTGTCGAAGCAATAGTTGACGAAGGCCTTGAATTTGGAGCAGTGAGACATGCTTTCAGCCCGATTTTCTTCATCTTTAACTCGCGTTTAGGTTTCCAGGGCTCGGAAAAAATGGGAAACAGACGCTCGCGACACCCAACGAGCTTGACATGGCAACCGATGATTGACATGGTTCCAGGAGAGCGAGCTGTCCCCCCAATCTGGAACTTTTGGGTTCTATAAGGGCCCAATGTAAAATGCTCTTCGAGGGCATGGAATTCGACCCCTTCTGCTGCAATCTTCAGCGCTTCAACACCAACTTCAAAGTCGTATGGATTTTGCAGCGCAATCAAGAATCGGTACTCTTCATTAGCAACCAGAATGGGGTCTGTTGCACTGGATCGTGGCATCTTTAACCATGCATTGTATATGAATGGCCCTTCTTTATGTGGTCCGATCGTCTTGAGCTCCGCCGGTCGGTGGTGAGTAAGCCGCATTATTTCAGGTTCCTCGAGTATGAACAGACCCCTAACGAGAAAGTCATCCCAATACTCCGTCTCGACATCCCGTAAGCCCAGCTTCTTGACCGCAGTCACTGTTCGAGATATGTTGGAGTACAGCCTGACCTGTTCATCGCGTGGGAGAGAGACAAAAACATCCGTACTGTTGGGGCGTGGTGCTGTACCTGGGCCAGCCACACGTAGTAGTAAAGCTGTAAAGTGAAGCAGGCCATCGAAGTCTGGAAGAGCTTCGCAAAAGCCTATGCAGATTCTGAGAATCTCTAATTTCAGTGCGAGGCTTCCAAAAGCTCGCAATGATGAGATTTTTAAAATCGCCTCAATGGCGGCTTCGCTAGGCTTACCATTGGTGCTCCCAACCAAGCTCGACGGCCCATGATCTGAGTTGGCACTCTTAGAATTTGGTATACCATATATGCGACCGAGTAGACCAAGAAACTCCGGGATCCCGCTCTGGTCATCTCCGTCTCCAAGATTTAGAGCGCTGGTACCAAGACTGCCACCGCTAGCAGCATTGAGCGCAGCTAGACCAGCGGCCGGATGTACACCCATCTCTGCGGCGCCTACTTTTCGTGCCTGTATTAAGCCCGGCGTCATGGAAGTGATGAACTCTTTCATCACAATAGCCTTTTTTCTATGTAACCCTAGGGATGAAAGAACAGATGCGATGCCTGCAAGGACGACCACGCGATCAGTGGGATGCATTGAAGAAGCGTCGATGGGGTCGGGTAGTGCACGGAAAAGCATAGATGCAATGTCGTTTCTTGTGGGATGTACGTTAAGTCGTGGGACAGAAAGTCTCGGCTTCTGCTTATAAGGGGTATTTTCGACAAGGTATCGCAATGCGTCCTTGTCTAGATAGCCGGCAGACAGGTTCATTGCAGCAAGCAATCTCGAGAACCGTATGATGCATTCGGAGAAAGCAAGAGCAGGTAAAGATTCTCCGGCAAAGTTGGCCGCGCGAGTGTACAGGTTCAGAATCATATTGACCAAGTCGGGCAATAGTGAGTTTAGAGCTTCGAGAGAAGCATCATAGCCCGTTGTTCCAGAAGGTCCACCTACATCTTGTCCACTGCTAGATGGCGTATGCGTAGGCGACTTATTGCTCCCTGTCTTGTCAAAAGACGGACAACATATTTGGGGGATCTTTATGCATCAGCTAGGTACGCCTCTTAAGACGGGAGATACCAACTTCGAATTCAATGCCTGCCCATGCAAAGAGCAGCAAGCACACCATGATGTTCTCAAGAGCTTTGGCGTGCCACAAATGGTCGCTGAGAGCCCGAGCTCGAGTGGCTCCATCCATCAATTCTCGCATGGCTTCATGCCACTGCCCTGCACATAGGTACAAGGTGCCGATGACAATGCTGATACGACCTCGACCCTTGTTACGCGCTCGTTCACTTACTCCGCCAGAACCAAAGCCATGAGTTGAGACCCGTTCGGCTGCAGCATCTTTACTTGAAGATCGAGCCTTGGAGGTACCTCGCGAGGGAGGGGTTCCTGTTGCAGCATTGACGCCGGATATTTCATCAAAGGTTGTAGGCGGCGTATGGGTGCCTTGGGTATCTTGTGATGCAGTCTTTGGGTCGTCTATAGTCAAAGGTCCTCCAGCATTTAATGATAGTACGGGCATGGACATGCGGTGCATGTCTCGCGACGTACCGTCTGCCGAAGATCCTGGCCTCGTAGTCAAGGGTACTTGCGAATTGCGTCTCGAGAAAGCAAACCCTGCTCCTTCTGGGGCTGCCCAGTTTGGCGTACCTTCAAGTGCGCCACCTTGCGATGCAGGTGAAATCACGGTTGGCAACGCTTGAATAGATTTGGCAAGCGTAGTCATCTCCGCGAGTAGAGTTGCGGTCAAATCGCACATGACTGTCTTCATGGTGGTTGTCTTGAGCTGGCTTGTTGGTGGGATCAACATCGTTTCTGGGGTCAGACATGGGTGCCGTGCTTGAGTCATCGAGTCGAACATTATGAGATTATGGGAATAGGCTCGTGGGAATTGCTCTTTCAAGTCAGACACTGCAGATTGGAGTGTAATAACGCCCTCATCTTGAGGGTCGGGGTGTTCAAAAACGTCATCAGACGAGTCATCGGTGGATGCACGTGACGGCTTCAGCCAGGCGTACTCGGAAGAGTCGCCAATGCCAATGACGAGCAGCGGCTCCCTGAATTGCTCAAATGGAGACAATGATAAGTGAGTTGCAAGAGGCATTGCAGTTGCCAAATCATAGAGTACAGTTCCACCGGGGAACGCCAAGGGAGAGAACATGTCTATTGGACGCCAAGGTCAGCACAATTTGGGCATGATCTATGTTCGCAAAGGGTTCGTACTACGGTCCGGGCGAGGATCCGGACTGATGTCTCCTAGCCTAACCAGCGACTGCTGTTGGAAGAGGTCGACATAGACCATAAAGCGTGAACGTCTAATGTGTCCCACCGGGAGAAGAAGGGCCCTGATGCGCGCGGGCGCAATCGGGGATAAAGGGTCAGCACCCATGGCAACATTGAGGATGAGGATGACCCCAAGTTCGAGGTGGAGGAGATTGGTCAGCAAATGAAGACAGTGTGGGCGGGTGCCTGCATCGCGTATACGAATATTGCACGCAACACACAACGGGTTGTTGTCGATGCTTCAAGCTCCCGGTTCAACATTGGAGGCGGTGGGCCCAAGGTTTGGCGCTAAACCGTATCTGGACATGGCCCCTGCACCTGCATCCCCAAATGCCAGTCCGAGACATTTGTCGAGACCAGCTCAAGACTCCAACCACTTGCGCCCATTATTCTGTTTGCTGTCCTTGCTCTTCACCTTTCTTACATAGCGTTTGCATGAGCAGGAGTAGTTTGCAAACTTACCAAGCTTCTTTTACATTCTGCAAGGTTCCCCGGACTTTGCCACTGACGTTTCAGAGTCTGGCTGGGTGCTGTAGGCACCTATCAGGCAACATCGTCGACCTCATCACGAGCCCTACTGGTATCTCTCATCCTCTTCACATCACACATTGTAGGCGTACGACTATACTTTCACTCCAGTCTGGCTGCGAGTACCCGATACGGTAGTGTACTCTTCTCATGCGCTTCCTGGACGCTCAACAGGATCCCCCAAGATGGCCACGATTGATTATGCGCGTCTGCGCAACCAGACCATGGCCGACGGCTTCGATAGCGAGGTTACTGTCAATACAAGAGCATTAATAGACAAGGTCTTGGCACGGTATTCTAGCGAACACACGACTTTACGAGAGCTCATACAAAACGCCGCCGACGCCAAGGCCAACAAGGTTACGATCAGGCTTGAGACGGATCCTTCTTTAAATGTACCCGCACCGCAAGGTGCAGATGATTCCATTCTTTTGAAGCATGTCATTCAACATCATACCCTGAAGCGATTAGTCGTAACTAATAATGGTCAACCCTTCACTCCCGCAGACTGGAGTCGCCTCAAGAGTATTGCAGACGGAAATCCGGATGAGACCAAGATTGGTGCCTTTGGTGTCGGTTTCTACAGCGTCTTTGCTGATTGTGACGAACCCTTTGTTGTCTCTGGGGATAAAACCATGGCATTCTACTGGAAAGGCAACACATTATCAACCAAGATTTCAACGGTACCACCTGGACATACGACCAAAGACACCATCTTTTCATTAGATTACCGACAAGCCAATACAGCATCACCATCTTACAATCCTTCAAAACTGCCAAATTTACCTTCGCTGTGCCAGTTCTTGGCTACCAGTCTGACCTTTGTCGGCCTCGAGTCTATCGAACTCCATGTCGACGATTACGTGGTAGCGTCTTTCTCAAAAAAGATTTCTCCGCCTGAACAAGTCACGGTTTCGCAGGGCCTGAAGACAGAGACCGAGGGTGGGCTCATGCGCGTGACCAACGTCACAAGACAGCATTCGCAAATTGATGCGAGTTGGCTTAATGTGATTGCTTCTGCGCAACTTGCGCCCAAGCGAGCTGCGGAAATTGTACAGCAAGAAGTTCGCAACGCTGGCTCCTCGTTACGCAGCTTTTTCTCCAAGTTTGCAGCACCTCCACCCCCAGCTGCCAAGGTTATCAAACCAGCACCCTCCGAGAAGCCTGATGCGAGTCTTGAGATTGCTGGCGAATCTAAGAGCACCATTTTCCTCCAAGTTTGCAATGTGGAGGTCGCGACGCGTGTTTCACGGAATTTTGCGGCAGAGATTGAACGGGCTACCAAAAAGCCTCCGCCAAAGACCACCAGAATTGCTTTACTGACGTCGCCCTATCAAGATCCTACCAGTACAGTCACCTCTGGGTCAGGCAACACGGCTGATCTTGGTTCCCAAATCTTCGCCCAAGTCTTGCCCACAAAGTCGGGTCGCATCTTTATTGGTTTCCCAACTGCACAAACGACTGGCTATCTCGCCCACGTTTCTGCGCCATCTCTTATACCAACAGTCGAAAGAGAGAATGTGGATATGAATGCCCGTTACATTTCAACCTGGAACATTGAGCTGCTGCGTGTAGCTGGGCTGGCGTGTCGCATGACCTACATGTTTGAAATGAATGCAATACACGATATGTTTGGCAAAGAACCCATGGAGTCCTTGGTTGCTAGAGCCGTTTACATTTTTCAACAGTACACGGCCAATGCTTCGCATCCTTCCACCTCATTGGGCGAAAAGATAGACGAGGCCTTTTGGACTTGTTCCAAGGAACGCTCCATTTCCATATTATCGACCAAGGGCATCATGCCAAGCAAGAATGTACGCATGCCGGCAGAAACTTTGAGCTTCCTCGGGCAAGTCCCCATGGTACCACAGGAGCTTGCGAATGGGGCTGTAACTTTCATGCTCAGTCTTCATAATCGTGGCTTTATCACAGATTTGACAATGGGTGACATTCGACGAGGCCTCGAGTCTCGCGCATTAAACGAAGAAGAGCTTATAGAATTCCTTAAATGGTGCGGCGCAAAACTCGAGACAGGGGAGATCGATGTGCCAGGCTCCCGTAGCCTTTTTGAGGTTACTGTAGCCAACATTGATGTGCAGCCTGAAAAGAATTCCGGCCGGATTCTCGCTCTAGGGGACATTAGCACCTACGTCAATCCAGCCAGGATCTCGCCTACTCTTCCTTTGCCTTCAGATACCATTCCTTTTGTCTTCACCCGTGGCATGTCCGTTCGGCAGCTACAACTCTTTGGGTGGTTGGAGCTGTCCATGGTTCGATGGCTCCGACATATGACTTCCCAACCACAGCTGGAGGCCTTTTCTACAGACGAAGAATTGGCTTTGTCAGTACTGACACTGACATCAAAGTGCTGGGAACAGCTCGACGCAAGTTCCAAAGAAACCATTGTCAAGATTCTTACACCACACGCCATTATGCCAACCAAATTAGGCATGCGCCGACCAACAGAAACCTATTTCCCTACGGTCAAACTTTTCGATGATTTGCCCACTGTAAAGACGTTTGCTGGGTCGAAGGAAAAATTCTTACTGTCCCTTGGAGTGCGCAAAACTATCGATCTTCCTATGGTGTTTGATAGGATGCGCAATCGCGATACACAACAAGAGGGCAAGGCCGCTTGGAACCACGTAGATCTCATTCGTTACTTTGCTTCCGTAATTGACGAGATTCCTAAACAGGATCTGGACCGCTTACGGGAGACGCCCTTTCTGCCAGGGGAGGGTGCATCAGTCAAGCCCAATCAGTTGTTCAAGGTCTCAGATCTACATGCTCCGGATCCCGCGATACTGCCACTAGGATTCCCTCAGATCAAATTGCCATTCGAGTTTCGATCTACCTCGCGCGAAGGCACTTTACTATTGCGTTTGGGTCTCAAACAATGGCCAGATTCCATTGCCGTTGCAAAGGTCTTGTACGAGGCTGGTCAGGAGAACGATTCGATACTTTATAAGCTCGCCATGGACTACTTTCTGCAAAATTATTACAAGAATATGTATGCAGCCGAAGCACAGAGATTCGCAACCCTCACATGGCCCATTTTGCCCACAGAACAGGCCCCATTTCCTACTCTTGTCGGTCCATTCCAATGCTATACAAACCAGAGCGCAGCTTGTCTCGGCTTTGCTGTTCTCCGCAGTGATCTACGTCCACACGCCGACAAGTTCGGCGTCCAGAAAGATCCAAGCATAGCCCCGTGTGTGCAGTACTTGCTCAAAAATCCCCCGAAGACCAAACTCGATGCTGAGATGCAATTTGCGTATTTAG